AATAGACTATTTTATTCTTTTATCATTCTATATATAATAATTTAAATTTTATATTTAAGATGCCTAAGAGAAAATTGCATTTACACTGTAAAAGATGGCTTTCAGTTAATTTCATTTCTTTTCAGTCTTGCATCAAATTGTGAATTCCACTGTGTGCAGAATATTGCATATATTAGTAAATATTTTACAGTAAGACCTGGACTACAAAACAGTCACAATCCTGCAAAGGAGTTATTTCAAGCTTTAAATGGGTCCATTGGGTTTGGGAGGTGTGATTACATTACCTGTGCAGGTTGGTGTGTACTAATGTGTACTAATCTTTTCATGGGGCCCAAAATCCCTGGCTGTGCCTTTGCTCAATCCTCAAAATTGTTAACGAACTGACCAAGCTCCTGCAACACCTGGTAGAGCTGGTGCCCCATGTACCAAAGCTGAGACCTTGCTGCAGCAGCCCAGGGTTCAAAGCCGACCTGTGGCCCTTTGCTGCTTGTCATCCCCCCTCTCGAGCCCCCTCTCTGTCTATGTTCAGCTGTCCTATCCAATAAATAAATAAAGCCAATAAATAAAGCCCCAAAAACAATATTTAAATAAATAAATAGACTAGCTCCATATTCTATGCAGAGCAGAGAGACGCTTTTGGGAATCACCAGGACGCTTCTGGTTGAATCTTGTGCATTGTCTAGAACAGTCGCAATCAGTTCTGGTGGCCATGGGGCAGATGGAACACATCACGGCTGACGATGGCTTTTGGGGGTAAGAGTGTTTTAAAGACTACCACAGTATCCTTGCAGACCTTTTTCCCTTGCTGGTCTGTAGGCAGAGTTAATCAATGCACTGGGCGAACCTGGCCAGTCTCCGAGGGGCACTTAAGATCTGGCCATCTCAGTCACTTGCCCTCTCTTCATTACCCTGGCTTCCTTTTTGGTTGGCTGAGGCCTGGTTATTAATTCAGTTTTACACCTTAGAACATGCTTATCCACTCATTCAATTGTTGACACACTGATACCACTGACTAAAGCACCTCGTCATTCAGTATGTTTTCAGTATGTTATTTGAGTTGCATTATTTTTAGTAATAAACCTTACCTGTACACATTTACGTTAAAACCGCTTACATGGGTCACAGGCTGGGCCAGAGAAAATTTAAGAACACATATGTTGTCAGGTCCATGGGTCTTATTAACTCTCACTGTAAAGAAGGCCTTTTCAACATCCTTTGGTCTATGTAGTGTTGATTGTCTTCAAGTTTGTGACTCAGTCCCTGAATTGCATTACTAAAACCAAAAGTATCAAAGCGAATATAAAAATGATCAAGGGCATTAGCAACCTCACATCTGAATTAAAGCCATCCAAAGTGACATGACTGTTGTTCTTTGGATTCTTGAGACCTGCTAGTTTCACTTAAGAAAGAACTAGAGATAATAGTAATAATAATAATACAATAGAGTATAGACCTATTATATTTTTGACATGTTGTGGGCCAAAGAAAGGGAGATGAAAGGCAGGAAATGCCCCCCAGGCTGGCAGTTTGCTGTCAGGAAATGCATATAAACAAAGTCAAACACTTTAGAGTCACTTTATATAACACATGTATCATCAAAATGTGATCACTGTACTCTCCCCTGTGCTTGATTCACATCTTACCTTGAAGCCTGAGCTGTGTAACAGAATAGAAAACATGAAAAGAAAAATTCAAAATGCATTTATTTGCCAAATTAATTTTGAATTCTAAATTAAATGACACCAGTAGTTTTGTGCAAAATTACATATTATTTGTAAAGAAGCACCAAACACTTTTCAAAGAGACGGTCTCAAGACCACATATAAATAGTTACAAAGACATTTCCCATCATGAGCTTGGAGACAGTGACAAGGAAAAACTTTAAGAGGCAGAAACCTGGAGCAGAATCTTAAGGGGGTGGGTTGATCTTCTTCAATTCCCTCTGTGTACAAAAAGAGACAGTTAACATTTGGTTATCTGTTTACTGTATGTTGAATGTAACTGACCTAAGAAAAGCACTTTACCTGTTGCTTTCTACACATTTATTTGAAGAATACTTATAATTTCAAACTTTGCAGGTGAATGTATGTTGTGATAGTGATGTGCAATAGGCTTATATAGTTAGTGTCTCCTCCCTGCTATTGGTTTGTTTGCCATGTGGTCAATCAGCATTGGGTTTGTGAGCCTGCTTGTACTGCTAGCTAGCCTGCTACCTGCCTCTCCTGCCTGTTGTGCTCCGGCTACCCCGTAGCCTCAAAACCTTTGAGCCTTCAGAGCTTCAAACGCTAAGGTACAGAGACTGTTAGCTGTACTACGCAGCAGAACCTCAACCAGCCGGTTTCTCAAGGTCTGCGTTGGGTGCATGCCATCCTCATTGGTCCTGTTGGCCCTGAAAACAGACAGCAGGGAGTCAGTTAACAGGACTGAAGAATGATTATTC